CCTTCAGAATGGACAGAGAGAGAGTAGATTGGAGGAGAAATTTTCATAGATTTGAGGGTTTAAATTTTGTTCCAGTGGTGAGCAAAGGAGAGGTTCTAGAGATTGGGTGTGTGGAATTAGTGCAAATAATAAAATTTAAGGCTGAGAAGGTTTTGGTAGAGCCAAGAGACAAGTACACTAGAGGAAGGGCATGTTTGTGGGGCTTGAAAGGAGACAAAGAGTCCAAGTCTCTGCTCTTCCTCATGGGTCTACAGCTGAGAAAACTCAGGCTACAGTGGAAGCTAAGATCCAAGTGTAACAGTGGAAACCTTCCCGAAGGTGAGATTGTGAGATGTGGACCCTGTCTTCAGAGCTGTGGGAGAAATATGGGGACATCTTCACAATCTACCTCGTGTCTCGGACTGCTGCCATCCTGTGTAGATAAGAGGTGATCAGGGAAGCCCTGGTGGATTAGGATGAGGCTTATCTTTTGGATTAGGATTGTGGTTTATCTTTTTACTCTGCTGGTGATTTCTTTAGATGTGCAGAAACTATTCAGTAGGATGAGATTCCAGTTGTTGATTCTTTCAAGTGTTTCACTTGAAAGATCACTGACCACAGATCACATCTTCCAGGAACTGGTAAGTGGAGGTTGGAGAAACATTAGGGGACAAAGGAGGGACCATCACACGAGTTCTCCCAGCATTCTCTCCATGCCTCACTCTCCGGTGGGACCTTTGCCAATGGAAATCGATGGATAGTCCTCCAGCGATTCTGTCTGAGCACGATGAACAACTTTGGGATGGGGAAGTGGAGCATAAAAGAACCAATCAAGGAGGCACTGAGCGTTTGGCAGGGGTGCTGAGGAAATCTCAGAATGAGCCCACGGGGTTGGGCAGAGAGTCCAGAAGATTATGGTTTTGAGAGAGACAGCAAGACTGACAGACTCAGAGACAGAGAGGCAGCCATGGGTTCTCAAAAAAAGAGGGAGTAAGAGAGATAAAAGAGGAAGAATTAAGGTGTACACAGAGAGAAACAAGAAAGAAAAGCTGTGGCTACAGACAAAGGTCTAGACAAAGAAACTTCACGGAAAAGATTTAGAAACAAGTTAGAAATCAAAATAGTCAGGGGAGACACAAAGTGTTAGAAGAAGAAGTCATATGCAAAGAGAGCAGCACAGTACCAATGGAAGAATCAGAGGAAAGACTAAACGTGATACAGATACACAAAGAAAGTCCATCAAAGACAGACATCTAAATGAC